TATGAACAGTGGTGGCCAGTGTATTTGTCACATAGGGAACGATTATTAAATTTATAAAGACTATTGTGTGTACTGCGTTCTCCTTGACAGCAACTGTACAGTTCTCTGATTACACGGCCGGATATAACGTACGCGCGCCCATTAGCAAAGCAAAACATATATTTATACCATAAGAAATGAATAGATTTAAAGGTTCATATTATGTCACGTTATACGATAGTTAGTTTATTAATTTTCTATCATGTATTCTCAAGGAAATTTTGTACTCTTTTTTTTTTTTTTTTATTAAACCGTTGATTTATTTCTTTTATAATAAGTACAAGAAAAAGGCTCAGGTTATACTTATTTGGTGGCCCGGAGTAAGATTATTTAATTGGGCCCAAGTAGTGACAACATTTTTCGATGACCATTTTTTTTTTTTGTTCAAAATTAGTTACAATATTAATTTTATTCTATACATTTGATCGAATTTGAGTCATTAATTAGTAACTTAATTTAAAAAAATTGAATTCATTATAATTAAAATTATTATATAAATTTAATTTGTAATAAACAAAAATTAAAAGGTTAAAATAGTAGTAAAGATGTGGTAGAGGATGTAGTATATATGTTAAAATAAAAAGAGGGTAAATATGAAGTGGTATCTCGGGGTCGAACTATATTTATTTATCAAATAATAAAATATCCCTACCTCATTTATTCTTATTCTTGTTTATTACGTGAATTTTTTTAAAAATAAAGCATGCAAATACATATTTACGCTTACCTTTATTTCCTTTTGTAATTGACTAAGTTGGTCTTATGGTGATTTCTTCCTTCAGTGTCAACAATCGTTTAAAGTGTCTTGCGTTTATTTCGATTAATTAGTCTCTCTGTGTATATTAGATTTAGAAAAAGGATTCTCTACAATGGGACCTGCGTCTATTATAATTTGTTACCTTTTAGCTTCAAGGTATTAATTTTACTATGATATTTTTTTTTTGTCTGTATACGCTCAATCTCAGCTCTCGCTGGACCAATTTTGATGAAAAATATGTCAAAAGATCACAAATCGTATCTAGTCAAAGACATTAACCTCAAAATTTGAAAAAAAATTCCTCGTTCCTCGAAAACAGGAGAAATCCCCCAAAAAATTACAAATTTAAAAATCGTTAATTTTCGACATTTTTTCAATTTTTTTTACTTAAAATTGCCATAACTTTTTTAAAAATGACCGAATCAATATAAGTAGGGTAATTTAGAGAGAGCAGAGCCCCCCCCGCCGCCTCACCCATTCATCATCCAATCGGTAGGAGCTAGAGCTCTGTATCATATCATTTTCTTTGGATGTAATCAGTTTTTACTCTAGAACGAGCTTTGTCCAAGTGACGAAACAATGACTTTCTATGCTTTTGTTTTTCTTCCACTTCAACACGGTTTTGATTAACTATTTCTTAAAGAGGTTTCACCAGCAGTGACATATGTGTACATACAAAATTTTCCGATTTCTCAACATTTCTATGAATTAACTGTATTTTATATTTTATGTTTTGTTTAGAGCGTATGATTTCTTTCAACACTTTATTCGACATCTTAATATTAACTAAACATATAGCAGTATGAGTCGTCTTTTTATACTCACGTCATTTTTATGAATATATCAAGCCCACATCGATATCGACCATTGTTGAGGTCATCATCTTTCACTATAGTAATGAAACTATATTCCAACATTATGAACACATTGATTTGAATTCATTAAAACTCATATCACTGGAACAATGATCTTCATAAACGTGTTTGATATTTGTTTCGTCTTGTTTGTACAATATAATCATATTAATACAGTGCAATAAATTGTTGGTCTATGATTCAAATTATTGTTGCAATGTTTTTGAAGACTATCGATGTCCCCGAATATTGCACCACAACCACAAACTGTATCAGACATCATCATTTATACAACTAAATAATGAAAAAATATAGTTTAAAAAACTAAAAAAACACGCTTTTAAAGCACATCGAACTAAAAAGTTAAAAATAATTTTTAAAATAAGTTTAAAATAATTATGAAAAAAAATACTAGTATTATTGTGATAAAAGCGTGGGGCGCTCAATATACGAAAAATATGACACAATGCACCCACGCTTTTATCACAGTAATACTAGTATTTTTTTTCATAATTATTTTAAACTATTTTAAAAATTATTTTTAACTTTTTAGTTCGATGTGCTTTAAAAGCGTGTTTTTTTAGTTTTTTAAACTATATTTATTTTTTACTTTTTAGTTTCATGTTATGATAGTAGTTACTATCAATATCATGGTTGTTACGGGTAACGGGAAATCAGGGTTCGATTCCGGGGAGGGAGTCTGAGAAACGGCTACCACATCCAAGGAAAGCAGCAGGCGCGTAAATTACTCACTCCCGGAACGTGGAGGTAGTGACGAAAAATGACGATACGGAAATCATCCCTCGTAATCGGAATGAATACTTTATATCTCTTAATTAGAATAAATCGTGTTAATATATTAATTTTAATAGTAATTAGAATATATATATTTATACAAATAATGCGACTTAACTACGTAAAAGTATCATGCACTAAGTATAGCTGTGTTTTATGGCCGGGCGGGTCGGACTAACGTTATACCCGAGGTATAAACGGCGGTAGGAATATATATATATATACGTAAGGCGCATTAGACGCGGGCGTTATTGGTCAGTCAAAATAAAAATTTGTTTACATATATATAATATTGATGACAAGCACGCGTGTACGGGTACGATAACTAAAAATAAATTTTTATAGGAATAGTGTACCGTCGTATTGTGAGCGAGGCGTGGGGAGGGGTGAATGCGTATAACAGTCTAGTCTAGACAACGGAATATGCGATAACGCGTGGCGTTTGGAGAGTTACAAANATTTGAGAAATTATATGTATATTTATCATAATTTACATTTTACATATTGCTATCCTATGGGATAACAAGTAGTTAGCCTAGTGGGTAGAGACGTATGTTACGGCACACTGTAAATTTTTATAGGAATAGTGTGCCGTCGTGAGATGAGCGAGGCGTGGGGAGGGGTGAATGCGTATAACAGTCTAGTCTAGACGACGGAATATGCGATAACGCGTGGCGTTTGGAGAGTTACAAACATACATACATACATACATACATACATACATACAGGTGAAACTAATATAAGCGTGTTAAAAAGTATATAGAGTAACATTTCATAGTTTTTTTAAATATCATTTATTATGTTATACTATGAAATTTTTTTTTATTTGACGTAAAAAGTTTATTTTATAATTTTTAAATTATAAAAATAGTTTTTTTATTCATTTTCCTGTAGCTATTATATTAATACTAATGATTGTACCAAAACCTTTTTTTTCTTTTATACTTTATAATCTCTCCACATAAATTAAATAGATTTATTTTTATTATTATATATATATATATTTAAATTTGTAACAAAGTTTTAAGATTACAATGTGAAAATATCTACAAAATCAGATTATAACATTTATACAATTAAATAATGAAAAAAATGTATATAAGGTAGCATTCCACGGTTNAATCGAAGCACGGTTAATCGAGGTTCCACTGTATAAGGTAGCATTCCACGGTTTTTTTTTTTAATATCATTTATTATGTTATATTATGAATAATTTTTATTTTTTGTAAAAAGTACATTTCTCTTTAAATAATAATTAAACTTTCAACAAATTAATTTTCTACAATTAATTAAAATTAATTTTTTNTTAAACTTTCAACAAATTAATTTTCTACAAGCAAAGTAGTACTAATGATATAATCAATTATATGTATAGACTATTATTTTAAAATTATAAAACTAGTTTTTTTTATTCATTTTCCTGTAGCTAATATATTAATACTAATGATTATACTGACATTATTTTCTCCACATAAATTAAATAGATTTATTTTTTACTATATAAAACAACAAAAAACTGAAACTAAAATATTTATTAAATAAACAAGAGGAAAAATAAAAACAGAAAATATTTTTTTGAAAAGGAGGATGAATGAGAGAGGAAAAAAAAAAAGTTTAAATAATTAACAAAATTAAATTTGCTAATAGTATAATGGATATGAGTGGTATTAGGTAAAGGGGAAAGAAAAAAAAAAGCTAAAAATTTTTTTTTAAAGGAAGAAAAAGCTGATTAAGACTTGAAAAAGAAAAAAAAAATGTGTGTGTATATGTTAAGTATTTATGTGTATGAATTTTTTTTTTTTGAAATAAGAAAAATGAAATGTGAAGGGCAAAAAATAACCGATTTTTTTTTATTTTGATTGTAAACTATATTTATTTTATCGGAAATGGAGAAAAACTTTTTATTTGACAATCGCTATACGTTGCTGTAGTAATACTCAATCTATTAATTATACTTCTGTTGGCTTTAATTTCTTTTGAGAAAAAAAAACAATAATATATATAGTAATGTTTAACCACAAAATCAGGCCCGTAGCCACGTACGGGCTAGTACGGGCGAAGCCCGTACAAGCGACCTCCTTGCCCGTACAGAGCCCGTCTAACCCGTCCAAGAAAAAAAAATCTGAAAAAACTGATGTGTAGAAAAATTTCTAGTATTGAAGTTACACAAAATGTTTCGCGTAATATAGTCGGAGCTGTCGGTCAGTGTTGTTAGTGATATTGGTAGCATNTATATGCTTTACCACGTTTTCCATGATATATTAAACATAATTTTTTTTCACTGCTATTAAAATGCTCTATTTCTTCATCGGGAAGAAATATAGATTTTGGTAGACAACCATTTTCCAATCGTGCAATTATGGTGTGTCCATATCTGGTTTCAACAGCTCTCAGCTGTGTTACTGGATATGGACGATCCAATTGTAATGATGACATAGAGACATATTCATTTTTAGCTTGTGATTTAAGTTTTTTTACAACATCCATTTTACTAAAAAAAATTTTTTATTTAACAAAGTAAAAATTCTATTTAAATACATACAAAACATATTTCGATATTTTATTATTTTTTTCATAACTAAAAATGTTGAACTAAAGATCTTATATCAATATTATTTACTCTTGTATTTTTAATTTGTTGTAAATTAATTTTATATGTGGTAAGATTTTCAAAATAGTTAACATCAATCATAAGGTATGTACAGCGAATATTACATTCGGAACATAATATTGTTTTAGCTAATTCTTGCACATCCCTAGCATGTTGAATTAATATAAATTCTTCAACTTTAAAATAATCACGATTATAAAAAAGGATATTGTTACATTGGAAATTTCCGCAACTAATGATGTTGTCTATTTCACTGTAAAAAACTAAAACAGGATAACCTCTTTTGAGGTTATGTATTATCCTAAATTTTTCTAATATATCAATTCTAAACATATCAGGGTATTTGCATATATTCCGATAATTTCGAGATTCACTTTCGACTAAAAGTTCAATAGTAGGTTCTGGTAGAAAATCGAATGGTACAAAAGGATTTTGCGGCATGATAACTAAAATAAAATAATAATAACTTTATTTAGAAAAAAATATCTAGACTTGTTTACCGTTATTCAATAATTATGATAAAACGAATTTTTATTTATAGAAAAATAACTTTTTACGTCAAATAAATTATTAGTAAAAAAATTTAATTTTACTGTTGGTTAATAATCAACTTATAATATTAAAATAACAATTTAAAGAACTTACATTATTTATATATTCCTCAAAATGCAATTGATGCAACAAGTATTTGTTACAGTATAAGTTTTCCATTCCGTCGAAATGCAATTGAAACAGCAAGTAATCGCTAGTGGATATAAAATCTGAAATAATTAACATTTTATTATAATATTCTTTGTAAATTAAGACAATAAAATGTTATAATGTAAATTTATATAATATGAATTCCAATAAATTTGCAAAGATAAAAAACTTTTTAGTTCAATTAAATTGATAATATAAAATTCTTATTTTTTTAAATATATTATGACATTAAAAATAGTATATATAATTACAAAAATTCATTTTATACTTACAGTTTAATTTTTTATCAAACGAAAAATGTAACTACAACAAATTTCTTTGCACAAAATCTGGTTGTTAGAACAAACTACTGCACTCTTATAATTCTTTCGAATGAATAAACGATCCAAGACTTTATATACTTGCACTGATTAAAAATAATGCAATGAAATTTAATTTATGATATGTTCTTCTGTGTTAATGATGAAAATGACAGTTGATCGTCTAATTACTTTTGAAATAGATAATATATTACATTTATGTCTCGTTTTCGCGCATGTTAAGTTCCATGGAATTTTTATTTAAACATATACAGTGTTGTGATAATTAAATAAATTTAACACATTAAATTATATACAATATGCTGTATTGTTATTAGTAAACTCGATATTGTTTATTATATCATAATTTAAATTATAGTAAACAGATAGGGATAATGATATATGGAGAGAGGAGGGTTATTACACTCTCAGCACATCATCCTCATCTATCCTTATGTTTGTGTAAAAAGTACTTGAAAAATGTAACATTTCACACTAAGTGTAAAATGTAAAATTGGATCAGTATCGATCTTAATCGTATAGTTTTAGATTGTGTTAAACGATGATGAATGATGATATTTACTGGAGTTCAGACAGCGACTCCGAAATTGGTAAGTAAAAAAATGTTAAATAATTATATCATAAATAGTAATTGAAAATATAAAAAACAAATTTACTTTTACAGAAAGATATGTTAGACTATATACTAACCCAACCCATGAATATCACACAAAAATTTCAACAAAAGTTGAAATTGATAGTATAAATAGTAAGTATAAATATTAAAAAATAGTTACAAACATAATACATTTATTCTTTTTTTATTTTTTAGATCCAAACTATAGTAATGGTGAATACCGAGAGATCCGTTTTTCGGTGAATGGAGTATGGTGTAAGTACAATATTTATTAAATATTAATTTCCAAAATAATTACTATAAACTAATAAATTTTTATTTATTACTGTAGCATCCTATACAACAAACAAACCGCTGGCAATTATTAAACCAGTTCGGCATGGACATCACATACCATAATTTTGGCAAGTTTCTATAGTATTTTATTTATTGTTTATCAATTAATTGTAATTACACACTTTGAATAAAAAAATATCATCAAAAGTTTGCTCCCTTTCTATTAATTTGAATGTTATATCAATAAAAAATAATCATTAAATCTACTAATATATATATATATATATATATAAATTAGTTATTAATTTCTATAAGTATATAAATAATTATTTGATTATATTCTATATTTGATAATAGATATATAAAAAATTACTTGTAAATTCCTGTATCAACTTACAATAGTAAAAATAATTTAAAAGAACATTGGGTATATTTAATATTAATATGTATTATTTATATATAATATTTATTATATATAAATTCAGTTCATAATTATATATAAATTCAACCGACTTATCATGCAATATTTCAAATTAATTAAATTAAATTAAACTATAAATTTATTATTAATTTTTTATTAGTACAGTTTTATTTTTTTAATAAAATGTATTTATTTAAGAATGTTTTTTGCTAAACACCTCATAATAAGAAAACTGGAACAGTCATTATTATTATACATATATTGTTGACAAAAAAAATACTGATTTATTGTTCACTATACGAATAATGGTCAAACGCAGTTCATTAACTCATATGTTAACGATTAACATTCGATAAAAATGACAGCATCGTCGCCATCAAGTGTAAGCCATCTGCTGTATATATCTCAAATACGATAGTATAAAAATATATATAATCATCTATAAAGCCATCTGGTACCATGCCCGTTTTGAACAAATGATTGTTTTTTTACAAATTAGGTAAAATAAACATTCTTACGTAGTTTTTATCTAAATATGTGCATGTCGCATATCAAAATAGCGGATTCGACGTTTAAAATTCATACTTTTCACCGTTACCGTGTAGTGTACCTGGAAAATGCATTTTTTTTTTCATCAAAAAAAAAAACTTGCATCTCATATATACTATATGACCACCCACCGCATCATAATCCAAAGTTTAGATTACAAACAAATAACTAAATAATAAATATATTCAGTTTTTTTTAACAAATTACCCAAAATCAACATTTTACGTACAATTTTTATCTAAAATGAAAATAATTGGCGATACTGTACGGTTAATTTTGATTTATCATATTCGATACATCGTGCACCTTAGGAATAAGCTAATCACCACCTCGACATGCGTACATCGTATTTTTATCGCGCTAAAGATACAAACGTTGCGATTCACACCTTCAACCGACACCGTCATCAGGGCGGTTACACGACTACGGCTTATACCCCGTCGACGACGTCGATGACGACGACGATGGCGGCGTCGGCGGCGGCGGTTGCGATGACACAATATAACGCGCGACCGTTTGACGTACAACTCCTAGGTGGGAGGGTGTAGGCAGGGGCAGAGTCTTTAACATTATTGTATGTGACGTGATGACCTTAAGGGCGATTATATTACGTAACACCTGTGATGCTCCTGATTGAGGGGCACGCGTTGCTGCATACGTCACACCGACAACGACGTAACGCCGAGTCAGCTGACCACCTACCCTCCGCCAACCCACATTATTATCGCAATTTTAACAATAACACACTTGATTTACAACTTTAACAATTACGATTGACCTTAATTAACCATTTAATTACCCATTAACACTCTTAATTTATTACTTTTTGATGACGTATGACACTAATTACCATGGCGGCATCCTTTGATCCCCAGAACCCGCTATTTAGATACTACTAGCACTATATCAAAGTATCCTAAAGTTGACCACTTCATAACCTCTAAAAGTTATAGAACTTTTAATATAGGCCTAGTCTTTAAAACATAACTAGTTTTCTTGGGGTGGGGCCCAAGAAAACTAGTTTTGGCACTGGCTAGCGTAGTTCCGTTTAGGAATAACACACTTAAAAATTCTAGCAGAAAAGCTCTTTGCAGTACTTTTAGATAGCTTCAAGATTATTGAAATAGAAAATCAACATTAAAATAAATAGCCAACGAAAATTTTTCAATAGATCCGTGTCATTTATTATTTTAATTAATGTCAGTTACATATATTTTAAGAATTATATCCGTTGTTTATTACATAAAAAATAACTATTAATATTTCAAATTTCCAATGAAATATTTCATTTACAATTTAAGTTTCAAATATTAATTGTATTATTATATGATTTTTTTTTTGTGTCTGTCGTCTTATTCTAAAGGATACGTCAAAATGTTACATCACAGGATATTCAATTTGTTTTTTATTTCCGGGATAATTTCTTCTACTAACGGTTTAATTGTATACTCAGTAATTATTTTTCTATAAAAATAAAATGTTGTTGGCACACAATTCGTTGTTATAGACGGACGATTATATTTTTCTGATTCTTCATCATTCTCTAAATCGTCTGTTAAATTATAAAAAAGAGTCCACGTTTTAATTGCTCGCTCTAGTTTTTCATCAAACAAATATTTATGTATTTTAAATAATTCAAAATTGAATTTTTTGATATCATGAATTAATAATTGGTAAATAAATTCTTCAAAAGTATTAAAATAGAAAGCTATATTGGAATAATTTAGTACCAAAACTATATGGTTCACAATTTGCTCTAAATGATAAATATCTATTTGGTGATGTTTCATGAATTCGATAATACTTTGTACTGGTTTAGCAATCATACTTATAATTTGGCTTGATGTGCCAAATGCTTCTATATTATTACTATTTATTGTATTTTTACAATAACTTACCAACAAATATAAGTATTTATACGACCTGATTTTCATGGCCAAGTGATATTGCTCATCGGTAATATTACCATCGTTTATTTGACTTAAGATAAGATAAAAGGGAACACTAAATATTACCTCGGACTTCATAAGTTTTCCATTGGGATATTTATTCCAATCAATCGCATTAGAAAAACGGCAATAAACTGTAAGAATTATGATTGAACACAATGTTGATTTCATCATGATTAAGCTTCTTGACGTCACTTGCAGGATAATTAACAGTAGTCGGGTAAAATATCTTAAATTATAATCTAAATAATATCATACAATTTTGATAGCTATATATACTAAATAAAAAACAGTAAATTTATGCTGAAAAAATATAATATAGTAATGTTTGCGAATTTCTTGTGTACGTAATTTTAAATTTACTAACCAAACAATTAAAAATGTACGAAAATAATTTATATATTATATATTGCTGTACAATTCAAGGTTTTATATTAAGCCTGTTTAAATATATCAACTTATTTTTTGCAATAGCTAAAGAAAAAGATGACTGAAAAAAAACTTTGAAATTTTATGTCTCATTCAAACTAGGAGAGTTAATATTACTGTAATAAACAAAAAGAAGTAAAAAGGTTATGTAGCGGTACAAAGGAATGTTGTTAGGTGTGAAAAGAAATAAATGTAAAGAAATGTAGCACAGGTGGCCAATGAGGAAATAATAATCGTAGCGGGCGTAGTGTAAAAAGGATGGGCAGCAATGGAAAGTAAAAGTGGCTATAGATACCGGACAGTGACTACAATAAAATGAAATAGAAAGAGATCTGGGGGTATGTATGCTTGCGTAAAGACGTCTAATGTATGAATAAAATGGAATTACAAAGAAGGGTCACTACCTAGCTCCTGCACAGAAACGCGTACACTAATTTCCGGCGAGTCACAAGTATTATATTATTTTATGAACATTTTAGTTTATTCTCAATGACCTATCTTGTTCTAATTGTTTATTACTAAAAATTCTTTAGTAAAGGATCTATTATAGACTTATTATATAAACAAATGTTTCACTTACCTCTGACTATCCTGATAAGGCAGATATTCTCTTGAGATCAATGATGTAATTGATGTAACAATTATCGATGTATACGTGTATGCATCAATGTACGAAATTATATTTATACGGTTTATGTTATTATTAACTCGCGTGTAACTACTTTTCTAGTACAATTCTATATTAAATCTACCCAAGGTGAAATCTAAGTTTATTTTAACTCTGTTTTTGTAAAAACCTTTTGTATATTTATGTAGTA